GTTGACGCGAGCAGGTATTACCGTATACGTGTTCCTCGGGCAGACCTACCACTTGCAGTGGGGTGCAGCGCAGGCGGATCATGAGGGATAGCGAGATTACGATCACAGGAATAACTAAATCCTATCTCACAGATGGGCATGCACGGCGAAAGATGTACCGGCCGATCCATCGAGGATAAGGAGAATCATCATCTTATTTTTCACAGGTACAAAGCACAATTGCACATGTGAACAGAGCCTGGCTCTCAGTTGGTTAGGTTGCTCGTGGTGAAACATGTCCACTCGGGTTTAAGTTCTCGATTTGACACGGATGTTCGTATTTTTCTGAATTTATTTCAGGATTTAACGGCAATGTGCTTTTAGTGGTAGGCGATGTTCCCGTCGATAGCGAGGCGCTTGTGGTGACTTCGTCAATCTCTTGATATGCCGTCTTTCGGAGATGCTCATAGGGGTAGGGTTTGCGTACGTGTGTTCATAGGGGTGAGTGTGGTAGGCGATGTTTCCGTCGACAGCGAGGCGCATGTGGTGACTTCATCAATCTCGTGATGTGCCGGCTTTCGGAGGTGCTCATAGGGGTAGGGTTTACGTACGTGTGTTCATAGAGGTGAGTGTGGTAGGCGACGTTCCCGTCGATAACGAGATGTCTGTGGTGACTTCGTCAATCTCGTGATGTGCCGGCACAGTCTTTCGGAGGTACTCATAGGGGTAGGGTTTGCGTACGTGTGTTTATAGACGTGAGTATGGTAGGCGACGTTCAAGTCGACAGCAAGCTGTGGTGACTTCGTCAATCTCGTGATAAGCCGACATAGTCTTTCGGAGGTACTCATAGGGTAGGGTTTGTATACCTATATTCATAGGGGTGAGTGTACATGCATGTTAAGCGTCTGCGTCTATACTTGTGTAATTGGCAAAAAAACAAAGCACAATTGTACATTTCTAGGTATTCCGTTGTGTTCTTCGCCCCCCTACAATTGCACATTATTCCACATTTGTAGCCTTGCTTGTCGGATTTCGATCAAACCTAACTTTACTTGGGGAGCCATTTCCCTTCTAGGAGAAGAAAACACGCAGTGTCGCCGTCCTAATGTGCCGACACAGTTTTTCGGAGGTAATCATAGGGGTAGGGTTTGCGTACGTGTGTTCATAGGGGTGAGTGTGATAGGCGACGTTCCCGTCGACATCGAAGCGCATGTGGTGACTTCATAAATCTCGTGATGTGCCGGCACAATCTTTCGGAGGTGCTCATAGGGGTAGGGTTTGCGTACGTGTGTTCATAGGGGTAAGTGTGCGTGCATATTAAGCGTCTGCGTCTGTACTTATGTAATTCGCAAAAAAAAAGTACAATTGCACATTTCTAGATATTCAGTTGTGTTCTTCACCTCCCTACAATTGCATCTTATCAGTGCCGGCCCTAGAGGTAGGCCACGAGGTGCGACGGCCGATGGCCCAAGCGGAGGAGGGGTCTAAACCCAGTTATATAAACCCCCAGGTTCTATAGTTCATTAGACATTAGCAAACTAATGAGAAGAGAGACATATAACTGGTCAGGTGGCCCAAAAAGACAACATCGATATTTCTTTTCTAGTTTCCTTTCCCCATGACCCTCGGATAGAGAGGAGGCGAGGAGTCACGTTGCACACAGCGCACTATGATCGTGAGTTCACGACGTGCGCCTTACACACGCGGAGCTGACGAGCCGCGCCGCCGCGAAGAGCTAGACTACCGGAGACACGGACATGACGCACGAGGACGGCGACTAGGCAAGGCTCCACGACGACGACATCTTGATTCTTAGCTTCTTACGAATTGCGATCACCGATCAGTTGTTTAGGCTCAAGGTATTTTTTTTCTTTTTATTTTTAATCCAAAATAATTATTTATATAGTATTCTAGACTTTTAGTACTTTTTACCCATATAGTCATATTTTTCTTCTAATTTATATGTTAGAATTTTAGAATGTTACCTAAAAAACATTTGTCATGGGTGAGAAAAGAAAACGAATATATTGCTTTTTTAATCTACATTGTTCATCGATAATTATCATACATCTACAAATATATTGCTTAATCTACATTATTTCTCGATAATTATCAGACATGTTAAATTAAAAATATGTTATTGAATTTGTTTTCGTTTTACAAGTAAAATTAGTGCCTATATATTATAAGATTTTATACATAATCAAGAAGAACCATTGCGACGAGATCGTCAGAGGACCCTTAAAATCCTAAAATCCTAGGCCCGGCACTGCATCTTATTCCACATTTGCAACTTTGCTCGTCAGATTTCGATCAAACCTAACTTTACTTTGGAGCCATTTCCCTTCTGGGAGAAGAAAACACGCAGCGTCGCCGTCCTATCAACTCGCCCGTCCAAACTGAACTGCTGCTCTGGAAAGCGACAATACGCACGTCTGAATGTATCCCTCGGTGCACTGCACAAGGAAATGGAGATATTGGTGCTCCCTTGCATTACATAACTATACACCCCATTTGTCCACATAAGAATACAACTATAACATTTATCTAAATCAAATTAGCTTACTTGACTAAGTTTATAGTGCATCGTATTAATATTTATTTATGTCTCTAACTATACTTACTACGAAAATATATTTCATAATTAATTTAATAATACTTATCTTGTATTACAAACATTAGTTATTTTGTGTAACTTCGATTAAACTATAATTTTTTGATTCCTGAAAAGCGATAATTGTATTGTTTTACGGACAGAGGGGTATATATACATCATGACCTTATCTGCTCCTGATTGTCATTTAGCCTGAAAAGACATACTCTCTCTTCATCTCAAAATAAGTTTCTATCTTATATTTCGAGGAGTCAACAAATCTTAACTTTGATTAGGTTTAAAGAAAAATAAATTAACATTTATATCTTTAAATAGATTTACTAGTTTGAAAAAAAAATAGATTTACTATGAAAACTTATGATGTGATTAATCTAATTACACTTATCCGATATCACCAATAATAGTATTTTTGGTATATACTTCGTTAAAGTTGAGATTGTTTCGTTCCTCGCTAGATGAAGACTTAATCAGTTAATCTGGGATGCAGGAAGTACTCCATCCGTTCCAAATACATAATAAAATGGATGTACCCAAAAAGTCAAAGCGACTTGTAATTTGGAACCGATAGTACGTCACGTGCTCTGAGATCTTTTAGGCTGTGGGCTTCATTTCAGGTTCGGGACTACTATACATGTCAATATGGGTCCAATGGATCATTCACTTCGTATAAGCAGCCTATGACTGTGTTTAGTTGGAGGGAAAGTTGGAATTTGGGTATTGTAGTACTTTCGTTTTTATTTGGTAAATAGTGATCAATCATGGACTAATTAGGCTTAAAACGTTCGTCTCGCGATTTCCAACCAAACAGTGTAATTAGTTTTTTTTCGTCTACATTTAATGCTCCATACACGTATCGCAAGATTCGATGTGATAGGTCCTGTAGCACTTTTTTGGAACTTTTTTTGCAACTAAACCAGGCCTATATGTTTTTTCGGCCCTTCACGATAAGCCCACGGGCCACGATTGTTTTGGTCGACAAGAAAATGGAAAAAGTTCATATTATATCTCTCAACTTTTACGAAAATCTGATTTTCCTCCCTGAACTATAAAATCGGGTAAATCACCTCCCCGAATTTTTAAAACTGTTCGTTTTACCTCCAGACAAGTTATAAACGGGTTTCAAATGCGGTTTTGTTCTTTTCTTTTCTAATTATTTCGGCTGAATCTTTAAAAATTCATAGTAAATCACAGAAAAATCAAATCCAATTTTGTTGGAGTCTACATGAGTAAATCTACACGGTGAACATATAATATAGTATGCTTTAGTATAATTTTATTGTTGTAGCTTTAGATCTATGCTTTTCTGTAATTAATTCATAGCTGCAGTTTCTATGATCCAATTTTGATAAAAATTTTATGGTGGACTAATTATTGTATGCTTAAAATATAGTAAAAAATTCATAATCATTGGATCATGTATAACTTAGTTATAGATTTATAAATACTTTTTAACAAGCATACACCTAAATAAATTTATAACTAAGTTATACTTGATCCAATGAGTATGTAATTTTTACTATAGTTTAAGCATACAATAATTAGCCCATCATAAAAATTTCACCATAATTAGACCATAGAAACTGCATATATGAATTAATTATATAAAAGTATAGATCTAAAGGTATAACAAAAAAGTATACTAAGGTATACAATACTATATGTTCACTGTATAGACCTACTCACATGAAGTCCAACAAAATTAGTTTTTCTATTTTATGATTTTTCTATGATTTACTACGATTTTTTAAAGATTCAGCCGAAATAAATAAAAAAGAAAAAGACAAAACCGACTTTAGAAACGGTTTATAACCGGTCAAGGAGTTAAAACGAACGGTTTTAAAAGTTTAGGAGATGGTTTACCCGTTTTTAGAGTTTAGGAAGAAAAAATAGATTTTCATAAAAGTTGAGGGAGGTAATGCGCAGATCACTCTTCATAGCCCACCGGACCCCGCCTGCTATGTCGGAACGAAGACGCAGCGCACGTCGCATATAGGCGCGCGGCATGGTCGGCCCCACTTCGTCGCCTCTGCGACCCACTCCCTCCCCCTTTCCGCTGCAGACCTCAGCAGCCTGGCCGTTCCGGAAACATTGCCCCGATTCATGGAACGGGAACATGATCGAACATCCGATCATTAATAGAACATAATCCACACCATGGGAACATCGATGGAAGAAAAAAAAAGGAGAGGCCACATGAGAAGTTCAATTATCTATTTTATTTTTATTATTTTAGAATTTTCTTAGTCTTACGTTCACGATATCAGTCAATTTAATTAGGATCATATTTATCGTCCCGGGAACACATTTTATTTATACGTGGTACATGTTCCATTAAAATCGAATGAACGAGATCAAGTTATATACGCTCTTTGTTCCATGGAACGTGCCAGCTACCGCGTTCCCGTACATGGCTGCTATATGCGCGCCCAGACTTGTTGCCTCTCGCCGGTACGCCGCCGCGGGCCGCCGGGCGCGCGGCCGGAAAGAGTGGCCAAATGGCGAACCCCGCCTAACACGTACCTGCGCACGGACAAAACCACGCCCAATCGCGGTCGCGCATGGAGAACCCCTGAAAAAGCGCGACCGTCGCAGCTCACAGGAAGCAAGCATGCCGCCCGGGCTGGCCGCTGCCGCTCCCATCGGCCGCCGGCTCTCGACCGCGGCCACCACGCCGCTGTCCGGCCTCACCGACGCGCTCCTCGTCACCCGCCTCGCTAGCCACCTCCTCACCACGCCGCACCTGCCCCGCCGCGCTGCTGCCCGCGGCGCCGCTGCCGCTCCCCGTCCACCTCCTCATCCTCCGCCACCCGGCGCTCCCACCGGCCTCCAAGCTCTCCTTCTTCCTCGCCGCCACGCCGCCCGCCTCCTCCGCGCGCTCGCCGCCGGCTCCCCGCCGCTCCTCGACGCGCTCCTCCCGTTCGCGCTCTCCTCCGCGTCCCCGTCCACCCTCCTCCCCGCCCTCCTCTCATGTCTCCTCTCCGCTTCGCGCCTCGACGCCGCGCTTTCCCTCTTGGACGCCTCGCCGCCAGACCTCCCTCGCCTCGCCGCAGCTGCTCTCCCTTCCCTCATAACCTCCCCGAACCTCATCGCCGCCGTCCCCGCCATCCGCAAGCTGCTTCCCATCGCCTCCCACCCACCACCCGTCCGGGCAACGAACCGCCTCCTCCTGGACTTATCGAAGGAGAACCTCTGCGATGACTTCCGCTATGTGTTCGAAGAAATGTCGAGGAGGGGCCTCCCTTCGAATGTAAGGTTATACAACATTTGCATCCACGCGTTTGGCAAGTGGAGGCAGCTGGGTATGTCGCTGAGGCTTTTCGCAGCAATGAAGGCCGCCACTCCTCCTGTTGCGCCAGACATATGCACGTATAATTCAGTCATCCGGGCGCTTGTGGTTGGTGGACGGGTACCTGATGCTTTGGTGATTTTTTATGAAATGAAATCTTCTGGAATTGAGCCAGATGTCTTTACTTATCGAGCAGTCATGAATGGGTGCTGCAAGAGTTTTCGGATGGATGATGCACTGCGTGTGTTTCAGGAGATGCGGGGCAGCAGTGGGGTGAAGAGTGATGTGGTGGTGTACAATTCACTTCTTGATGGGCTGTTTAAAGCGAAGAAGCTTGACGAGGCATGCGGTTTTTTTGAGACAATGGTGGCTGATGGAATCCAATGCTCAGCAAGCACACACAACACTGTGATAGATGGGCTGTTTGAGAATGGGAGGGCAGAAGCAGCATGTTGGCTTTTTAAAAAGCTAAGAATGAAAGGGCAACTGAAGGAGATGGAGCAGCAAGGCTTCAGTGTTGATTTGGTTACAATAACATCATTGCTAATAGGTTTTAACAAGAGTAAACGTTGGGACTTGGAAGAGCAAATAGTAAAGTTTATAAGGGACGGCTCTGTATTGCCGGATGCCATTCGGTGGAAATCAAACATGATGGTTGCCTTGAGGGGACCTCATGGCAGAGAGAAAGATGGGACACCACTGTTTTCCTTTGATGGTAATATGGATGATGTGATGAGTTTGGTTAACCATGTGGGACATACAGGTACTGATGAAGAAACCCCAAATAGTGATCCCAAGGATGATTGGTCACTGTCACCACACTTGGATCATCTTGCTAAACATGCTGACAGTTTGAACAGCCCTGCTGTATTTACAATGCACAGAGGGCAGAGGGTGCAAGGTATGGGTGCCAAGACTTTTGATGCTGACATGATCAATACATACTTGTCAATTTTTTTAGCCAAAGGGAAGTTGAGTGTTGCTTGCAAGTTATTTGAGATCTTTACGAATCTAGGAAACAAAGGGACAAGTTATACATACAATTCACTGATGACCTCCTTTGTCAAGAAGGGCTATTTGAAACAGGTATGGGCAATTCTTCATGAGAGGGGTGGACAGCTCTGCCCTAATGATGTAGCAACATATAATCTAATCATTCAAGGTCTTGGCCAGATGGGGAAAGCAGAGGTTGCTAGCACAATTATTGATCGGTTGTCAAAGAAAGGTCTTTACATGGACATTGTCATGTATAACACTTTGATCAATCAGTTGGGAAAGGTCGGAAAGGTTGAAGAAGCAGGCTTCTTGTTTGAGCAGATCATCAGAAGTGGCATGAAGCCAGATGTTGTTACTTTTAATACATTGATCAATATTAATGCAAAAGCTGGTAGACTAAAGGAAGCTGACAAATATTTGAGGAGGAGGATCGCAGAAGGCATTGCGCCAAACTATGCCACAGAAACAGTATTGATTTTCCTTGATAAGGAGATTGAAAAGAGAAGGCAGCAGCACAAATGAACTGGCAAAAAAATACGAACGAAAACAGTGTGATATCTGTTATTTGTATTAACCATTACAAGGTATGTTCTTGTTATATCCAAACTGGAAAACTGCTGTACAATTCATGATTATTGTAGTGCTGAATATTCGGTATTAATGCAGTTCAGAAGGCTTGGCCGAACCAAACTATTGGAGTGATGATCACTTTCGATATGCTCACTGATATTCCTGCTTTAACCATAAAGCCAAAAACCCTTTATCTCTGATGTCTTGGCGGTTTAGAGACGTTACTGTGGGTTTCCAGTAAACACCCAAAGACGATTAAGCAGCCTGTTGGCCAAAGGACGCATTTAATTCCACAAACTGCATCAATTGCATTGAATGAGATCTTAGTCAATCTAAAGTTCTAAACTGCCATGAGGTAAATTTGACAGCATTTAACTAAATTTGCCATATTTCTCTTTCCCTAGTTTTTTTTGGTTTGTTATCTTTTGGAGTTTGTATCCAGTAAATGTCAGACAAATGAAACTGCAGTGATCAATAAGGCTAGCTATAATTACTTGATCACAATTGTCTACTGGAAAGCTCCTTTAAAATGCCATCTTAGATTATTGGATAACAGAAGATTAAAAGTACTGAGTATGTACCTACAGATATTTCTGTTTCTTTTCCGGAGGGGGCTCGGGGGGACCTTTCTTTTCCCCTCGAACTCCATTACAAAGATGTTAATTCAGAAATTCCATACAAAGTACTGAGTATGGAGCCATCGTTCTTTCACTATCACAAAATAGGATCCTGTGGGATCCCCATGGGATCCATCGATCCTACCAGGTTAGGTGCGGACCCTACGACCAGTGCCTTCTTGAGTTCTCGTCCGATGATGGTCAAGTCTATGGATACTTCTCTTCGGTTAATAAGTTAGAGAAGAGCTGTCTTTGGTGTTTAATCGCTTGCTTTGCCAGGGAATGTATCGATCAAGTTTTGTTTAAGGCCATTATCCCCCTGGGGTATTGTTGAGGATAGGTTCCTATGGCTCTTCCTAAGCTGGCAATCGAAAAAGCTAGGTATGACTCTGTTGCATCATCAGGTTCGTAGATCTATGGCATCAATTGTCAAGAAAACCAGTTGTAAGGCAATAAATAGGGGATCTATGGCCAGAAATCAATCTCTGTTGTGACTCAGTCATGCTCTCATTTGTCTTTACAAGTTGTAGTTCACATTATGCTGACTATTAGTTTCAATTTTTTAAGATCATTGTTTCCATTAAGTGCTTGAACTCTTTCTCCTTTTTTTTTTTGACATGAATATGCTATCAGTAATTCAGTATGCATGTGTTACAACCAAATTAAACAGGACGAGCAGTCGAGCACTTTGTTTTGTCCTTTGTCGTCCGTTGTCATCCTCTTCATTCTCCCTTCATCTCTCAATATCATCGACGCCTCTTCCTGGATGGCGATGACATCGGCTCCCCTTCCGCTTCCTCCGCTACAACTTTTTGGTTGGTTGGTTGTGGTTGTGGCTGGTTGATTTGGGATAGGAACAGTGGCGGGCCCAGGATTTTTGACCTGGGTATTCAAAATGTTGAAGTGTGTCAATTTTTTTAACAACCTAAACTCCTAAATCCTAATGTTTGGAATGTATAACACCACATAGTTCTAATTGTATAATATATAGCAAGTATATATCACGCAATTGAGAATGATTTTGGCCCTGTTTGGTTCCGCGTATACGACCGACAGAAGCGAAAGAATCCCGCCAAACGGACTGCGACCGACGTGCGTTTGCCGGTGGAAAACCAACGAGAGCGGGCGTTTCCCAAAACGTGGCATCGGATGCGCGTTTGCTTAAACGCTGCCGGATCGTGGAACCAAACAGGCCGTTCATACATTCTTACAACTTGAGCCGAAGTAATTTCACAGTCAGGAGGAGGGAGGAGCAGAAAGTGACGAGCGTCGAGAGGTCGAGCGCGAGGGTGCTGTAGAAACCGATTTCTGTGGTGCGGGTGTGAATTTGGGCCGCTGGCCTTATTGGGCCTTCGGGTGGGGGAGAAGAAACTAGCAGAAACATGTTTTGGGCTGATTGTTGTACAGGATATTCAGTTTGACTGTTTTTTTTTTTGCAATATAGATGAGCAGTCAAGCAGCGCTGCTCACTAAAAAAATCCTCGGACAGAAAGGGTGTCCCATCTGCATGCAAATTAGTAGTGGCAATAGACTAATGACTCACAAAACAAATATGGAAATTAAAGTAGGAAAAAACAGAATTGGGAGCTGCTCCAGATCCGTTGATATTACTGACACCATCTTGATTGGAACATTCTACCATGTCAGATAGCAATTTCAGCATTACAAGACGTACTAGTGGTAGATAGCAAGAAAAATTCTTCATAACTTCGAATGGGTTGTCACGAGTCATCAACTTAAGAGGCCCAACATGTGTGAACTCATCGGCTCAAAAGGAAATAGAAAAAGGCAGACCATAATGTGGGGCGACCTCACCTTGCAGGCTTGCACAGGCCACAGAGCTGCTGCACGAGGTAACCATGATAGCAATCACTGGCTCGCATCTCCTTTCCACGGTCCACCTCGCGAGTCCGCTCTTTCATCTGCTGACACCTGCATCAACACCCGTCTAAAATGTGACATTGAGACTTTTGATTTCTAAGAATATATGTAACCTCAAATAAAAATACATATGTTGTAATGTAACTAATTGTTTTAAAAATGGGAGTGGAGAGAGTCCCAGCCCTTCAAGAAGGCTTAAATGTTGCTACCTACTGAAATTGAACTCACACCTCCAAGAGCAGCACTCTAGCTTTGCCTCCTGTGACCAAATGCCACACAACCCTCACTCAATGTAAATGTGATTTCAATGAAGAATCCGTAAGTACTAATTCTATGTTCTCAATCCACACAGTCATTGACATATTGATGATTAATTAAATTGACTATTTGACAAACAGAGATCCTACAACTTGCGGTTGGAATCGAGGAGAAAAAGATCAAGGTTCGATATCCATTCGTTATTTCCAATATTGGAGAACTTCAAACATATTCATACATGAACGCAGAGATGGCAAAACGTTGATCCTTTATACATGTGCAATCGAAAGTGCCATTGACAGTTGTTAAATGCAGGACAACTATATGGTTCAACTACCAAGCATTAGCATGTCATTTTAACCAGGAATGGTACATATAAAAAACACAACAGTTACCAAATTAGAATAATAATCATGTCACTTCTACCTTCCCTCGAATCCATATCCCTTTAATGTACATCCGGCTTGTACCGCAAGAAGATAAGAAATAATAGATTAATAACTCCGAGAATCCTTCCCAACTACCTACAAATCAAACTGTCAAAAATCTCTTCCTAAAACTAACCAACCATGCTCCTTTGCACGATGGAATATTCCCTTTTTACTATCTTAGAGCTAATTAACTATGATCGAATTAACAATTTTCAAACCCGAGAAGAAATGAATAGAAGCCTCTCAAACACAAGGCAAACTACCAATAACCAAAGACAAAAGAGTGCACCATAAAGACTCATGGGACACACATATTCAACATGAGAAACAAGCATAGATTTAACATCATTATTCATTATTAGTGAGTTCATTGAATTGAAAGACACACAAAAAAACTGGGCATTCTATGGCAATATATAGCAACTACTCGATCAAAAAAACATATAACGACTACAGCATAATAATACCAGCTAAAAAAATGTATTCCAAAGTCCAAAGTGGTGGTAAGGCGGAATCAAACATCATCAAAACATTTTGGGAATCAACGCAGTTGGAAATCGATTTCGGCAAGGCAACCCTTAGCACCATGTGATTATGAAAACCGCTATGTCACTCTCATGGCGCAACTACGCACAAGTAGACAACTACGACAGGACACTCATGGTTGTCTCTCGTGCTTTCCATCGAGCATATGATGAACAATTTAGTCGAACACATGCACGCACACAGGCGAGATACGACATAACGGATGAGCAACCGAAGGACATGCGAAGTTGAGATTTGCTCACCTGGTGCGGATCTCGGCAGGGTCCTGATCTGTGAGGAGCTCCGGCATGTCGTCTAAGGCCCAGTTGGCATCCCTGTCCTTGTACACGAGCAGGCGCACCGACCTCAAGCCAAAACAAGAGCACACGCGAATCAGGGCGCCTCCACCTTGGATCTGCGTGGAGTGAGATAGATAGAGAGTTTAAGGCGGGAGAGATGGGGCCAGGGCTCACCTGCTCGCGCCGCCCCCGATAGAGCCGGCCGCCTCATTCGCTTGCACCGCCTGCTCACCTGCTCACGCCGCCCCCGATAGGGCCGACCGTAGACCACAGACCACGGCACCCGTGCGCTCGTCTAGGAGCGGCAGGCGTGAGACCGTGAAGCAGCACCAGCTATGGCAAGGGCGCGGACGGGCAGCACACTCCGTCTGCGACGTCTGGATAATGGCGCACATCGCTGGGGAGCGGCGCGGCAAGGGCGGATCTTGGGCACGCAATGAGCGCTAGGCAACGGCGGTGGTAGGGAGAGGAGCAGGAAGGGCGGTGCCGGGGAGGGAGAGGAGAGAGATCGAAGGACGCGGGTCTCGAAACCGCAAAGAAATCGTGCATGAGTGGGGGGAGCTTAGGAGCTGTTGCTCGACCTCCTCGGTGGGTGGTCCGGGCCTGTGAACCTGAAGCCCGAACGGAGTGTGGGCCTGTTTGCCTGGCTCATAGGACGCTGGGTACTAAATAACTATTTGGTACCTAGGTACCATATAGTAATACTATATATATATATATATGATTTTTTTTGCCAAAAATTTTGGGTATTCAACTGAATACTCTTGAATTACTATGGTGATACTTTTAGCATTACTTTTCAGTAAGGTGTACTTGTTCTCTCGGATCAGCGGCATTGTTGCTCAAACTACTCTGTTTCACTATATGAGCATTTGATATCTATAACGTGATTATGTTGCTATGCCTAGAATACTGAAATGCTATATCAGTATGAAGTTTAC